ATCTGATCAGTGACTGTGTTGTCAGAACAGCAGTTTTTTTTTTTTCACCGTCTCACCTCCTACTGACTGTCTGTCCTCAGACCTCCACAGCTGATCAAACATGTCCATGAGGTCTGAACCGTCTTCGACACATGTAGGCAGCAGGAAGTCCGTTCAGACCAGACGTCTGTTCACACGCTGCTGGTCTCATGTTTGAGTCACCGCTGGTTTGTGTAGAAAGTTGATTTTAAAAAAAGTCACAGACAGACATTTAAATTGATAATTTGGTCTTTATTCCCTTAATGCTCAGCACTGTCAAGACACCGAGTCAACGGTTTGAATTTACATGTCAGCTTTCACCACAGCTGGTCAGTGACACAAACACAGACTGTAGAGCTCATTAACCAGAGGACAGACAAACTCTGTTTCGGCCTTTTGGAAAGTAACTTAAGGCATGAATGGACTGGTGAAACTGGTATTGTTCCTACTTCTAGCTAAATAATCCCAGGTTCAGACTTAACGGTATCAGTCCAGACCAACGCAGCGCTGTACGGTGTCAGCTCCTGACAGAAAGTCTAGCATGTTTGATTTTCCTTTTGTCTTCCACGACTTCTCCCGTCACTGCCGTCACTTTGACCAATAGGATCACAGAGCGATCTGCTGCCGTGGAAACTGTGCGACAACAACAGCTCAGCCTTTTAGATTTTTCCTGTAGGGACGTTAGCACACAGAGTAAAAAGGAAACAGCAGAGGCACTTTATCAACCCGCTGAGTACTGCCATTAGCATCAAGCTAGCAAACAATGTTCTTTCTTCATAATGGAGGATATAAAGGAATCAAACTCACAGATAGTGTCTGGGCCTTTACTCAGCACAGCTGCAGAGGCTACCAGCTGCATCTCAAACACACCACATTAGAAACAGGCCCTCATTTCTCTTCTATTTTTAATTTCAATCCTGTTAAATTTAATGCATCACACCGCCATTTCAAACTCAACACTTCCTGTATCCATTTCAGATTAAAAGCCCCTTGTTATTTCAGCTGAGAGAATTCCTTCATTTTATAAAAAGACTTTTATTGTGAAATACTTGCAGGAACTTCCTGTGAAGGATTCAGTGACCGTCTTTGTTTGTATGCAGTACTTCAAATGTAGCTCTGCCTATCTGGTGACACTATTTACATTTCTACAGAAACAGTGCAGCTGGTGTAACAAGTTGTTTCAGGGTAACTTTAATATTAATACTGAAATTTTATTCGTAATTAGTTACACTACTTGTTACTAGGGCTGTGTGATATGACGATATATATCGTGTGACGAGAGAAAAATGTCTGTCGTTTCATATTTTTGCTCTATCATTTATATCGTTGTGACGAAAATTACACTTTATACGGCAATATTTTTCGTCATTTGGAGTCTGTCCATCTTTTGCACAGATCACATTGATAAATTACTCTTCGTGGCTTTTTAATTTGCGAAGCTTTTACAGCACTTACAACTTTTTATTCATTGGATTAAAATGTGCTATATATCGGGATATGAAATGAACTATATCGTGATAGATTTTGGTCATATCGCCCAGCCCTACTTGTTACTGGAAAAAGTAATAATAGTGTAACGCCCAACACAGGCTGTATGCTGGAACTCCGGGATTCAAGCAGCACAGACCATCAAATGTTGAAGGCTGCAAAGGATCAAGAATTTTGCCAGCTTCTACATTAAAAATAACTCACAATGTTTATGATGCTCATTCATTTATGACCAAATCTGTTTGGCCACGCCCCTCTGCATCAACACCAACTTTGACCTACTGGTCAATAGTGAAAACAGGCAGATTGATGCTTTCTTGTTGAGCTGAGCTGGAGCTGTGTGTCCAGTCTGAAGTCAGTCAGACTTACAGTGTGAGGGGCGTGGCCTCTCTAAAACTGCATTTTTGGCCCTTAATTATAGCGCCCCCATCAGGCTGATTGGGGTTGTGTTTGTTGAGCATCATTTGGTCACAACTTCAAGTCATTGTTAAAAATTTTATGCGTCTACCATGAACCATCTTATGATGATTTGTATAGAGGAAGAAAAATAATAACAGGCCAACATGATTAGATTTCAATCCTCTGGGCCTGAGCCTCTGATGAGAGCCATAAATGTTCCTGAATGATGAACACAAACACAAACATGAAGAAGAGCAGCAGAGTTTATTGTCACAGATAATGAAAAATCGTATTTATTGTTGCTTCAGTCGTCGTGTGTCAAGCGGACGGACTGCTGCAGAGTGATAGAGAGAGCTGAGGGAGCAGCTTCATCCCGTCAGTGTAATCAGGTGAAGAGAGAGCAGCAGCAGCAGCAGCAGCAGCAGCAGGGTGAAACTCCCCCAAGACTTGAACATGTCAGCTGAGACTCTGCTGCAGAGACACAGGCAGGCTTTCACAGCCCCAAGCTACAGCACAAAGTGAACATAGAACATCTGATGGGAGTTTGAACTAATGAATCAGAGTCCTGGATACAGTCATATTTAAATGTGAATTTATTATTTATATCAGTTTATACATAAATCTGCAGGTGGATGTGTGTGTTACACTGTCAGTGCCATCGTCACTGTGGCAGTCGCACTAACTGTGCTGTCAGTAAACGTGAAGCAGCTGATTGTGTCGTTGATATTCTGCCGTATGTCTGCACCAGACAGACTCTGACCAAACATCCTCTGCTGCCTTAAATGAAACTCTTTTAATAATATTTTACTTGTCAGAGTCAAATCATCAACATAGTCATTAAGTTCCATCCAAATAAGCTCAAAATTTTATCCAAAATTTCCCAAAATGATCAGAATAAAACTGAAGTCCTGTTTCTGTTCACTCCTGTTGTGTGAATATTAATATGATGCCGTTAAACCACAGAGGAAGAAGAAATGACTACAAGAGCTCCAGTGTTAATGCTGACAGCTTTTTTAGATTTATTCTTAGTTTTGAGATGAAAATATTTATTAGTTTTAGTTTGTCATTTTTATCCTTCAAAGTTTTAGTCAAGTTTAAGTCGACGAAAATTCAAAACAATGTTGTTAAAGTAAATTTAAAATGTTTTAGTTGATGAAAATTAGAATTTTTTTTAGCTGACAAAAACTTAAAATTTTTAATCTAAAAATTTTTAAAACATTTTAGTCGACGAAAATTTAAAATCTTTCAGTTGAAGAAAATTCAGAACATTTTAGTTAAAGAAAATTAAAACGTTTTAGTTGCCGAAAATTTAAAGCGTTGCAGTCTTTAAAAAATGTGAACCATTTTAGTTGATGAAAATGAATCATTATTTTTTTCCCCGTGTTTTTTAATCTTATATTCTGGCTGCCGCTCGGTCTGTGATCTGAAAGTTTTGCTGTATTTCCTGCTGAATTACAGCTCACAACTCGCACCAACTGCTGACACTGCTCCGCTCTGACTGTGAAACATCCTGGTGCAGACTATTTACTGGAGTTTACCAGCCTGTCACTCATGCAGCATCTGAAGATAATTAAGTGACCTGTCGTTGTGTTTCTACGACAGAAAGTGCCACAAAAAGCCTTCGTTTGTTACCGAGACATCGCCGTGTTTCCTGCTTTGACTGTTCCACACAAAGTGGATGTTTTAAGCCACAACATGATCTTTTCTGAACCATAACCATTTGGTGTTTGTGTCTAAACATAACCACACTTCAATCACAGCAACATTGAAATGTAAAAAATAAGTAAAGTGTCAACATTTCCACGACGCACTACTTTACAAATCTGACGTATCTGTGGAGACATGACCGCCTGAGATGAGATGAATTAAGACCAGAGGGAATCTGTTGTGCAGCAACATATTAAATATTTACTATTATTCAGTTTAACCCTTTGAAGCTGAATAATTTAATTGTGTCTCTTCTTCTTTTCAGTGTCATAACTCAGTCATATCAAACACACTGATGTCGTACATGAGCTGTTAGATTCTAATGGTCATTAGATGTCTATTAATTGAAACAGAAACCATAAAGAGCAGCTCGTTATAACTTGTGCCAGTGCATCATCACTGACCTGCACAGTGTTGTCACGTCTGAGTAACTTACAGGAGGCTCATGTGAGGATGGAGCTGAATATAAATATGATTCGGGTGTGATGACTAATTGGACTGAGATGTTTTTAGTGTCGGTCAGTCGGGAGATAAAATGTGAGGAAATGCTGTCGAGGATGAAACAGAGACACTGTGTGTTAAACTGGTGTGTGTCTCTTTATCACATCTTCACGTCCCACACGTCCTCCAAACTGTCCTCTCTGTGCTTCGCTCTGGAGCTGCGACCGTACTGACTGTTTGACGCAGTTTGAAAATGTTTAAATCAACTTTAATTGGAATCAGATGAAACTGGATTAACTTCACTCTGTTTGTTTTATAGAAATAATGAGTGAAATCAAACTGACACATTCTGATGATGCACCATAATAACGTAGTGACACACAAGTGATTTACACTCATGTTTTTGTCTATTCAATAATGTAAATGTGATATTTCTCTCCTGCAGCAAAGAGCACAGAGGTGAAGTGCGTCAAGTAGTTTTAAGGTGGAATGAGTTAGGGCTGCATGATACATATATTTTTTATTTTGTTTAGGTTTGGGCAGGATGGATGGTGGTTTAAAAAATTACTCAAAAGTCAAAACTTGTGAAATGTTTCAGTATTTAAGAGACATATTTCCTGAACTTGCTTTTTGTTGTTAAAACAAAACCATGAAAACACTGATCATGTTTCAGTCACCAAGAAAAAAGTTGGTGAATAAATGATTTGCAGATATTTCCTTACATGCATTGAAAAAAATAAATGTAATAAATTTCATTTCAAGAACTTAAAACATGATTTGAAACATAAAAAACTTAAAAAAAAATATATATATATATATATATTTTGACCATTAAAAGAAGCTTCACTGTTTTCCCGTCACAGAAACTACACACTGCAGGATGAAATCAACTATAATTGTTAAAGAGAATAATATCATAAATAGTTTTTGGTTTCTGTCGTCCTCAGGTCAGCGAGCTGGAGGCCATGATGAAGCACATGCAGGAAGTTCTGGAGGAGGAACTGAGTGGTGAGTTCAGACCTTACACATAAAGTACACATGCTCAGTGTATGTTTAATGTACACACCGGGGACAGAGACAAAGTACTTTGAACAAAATGATATGAAATAGCTTCATGTGAAACAATGAATGAATGAATGACTCTTTAATTTTCAGTTAAAGCAGAACATGCAACACATCACACAAACAAACCAGGGAAAAAAATCAATACAATAAAGTATCGCAATATTTTTGTGTGGCTATATCACACCGTTACACAGTGCCAAAGATCAATTTATTATTATATAATATTACAAATACAAATTAAACTTTACTAGAATAATATAATCAGTTGCTTTTTCAGTTCACTAGACACATTTTACTGCTGCGAAAAAAATGGCTGAAGTCAGACGAACAGACTGAAAACTTTATCTTGTTAGATAAAACAGATGTTGACAAAGTTTTCCTTTTTGGGAACATAATTTAGTGTTGAGAAAAGGTAATCATTTGCAATATGTGACAATATATTTCATCACAACACTTCATCAGCATCCTAAACACACCTCAAAACCCAGTGGCCTGCCTCAAGCTGAAGGTTTGGCCACGCCCCTCACAGTCCCCCGACCTAAACATCATCAAACATCCGTAGATAGAGCTCAAACAGCAGAGCATGAAGACGGCCCAAAAAGAAATCCTCCAAACAAGAACTGAAAGACTCTGAGCTGGATACAAGAAGGGTTTGGAAGAAGAGGGCGCTACTGAGCACTGAGCATGCAGGGTGTCCAAAGTTTTGCTTCAGGCTCTTTTCATTTTGTGTTTTTTTGTAAAAGATTGAAGTTAAAAAAGAGAATATTGAAGAAATTCTCCATTTTTAACTTCATAACTTTAGGCTCAGTTCGTCTTATATTGACTTACTACTCACATTTAATGAAATTCTGAGCAGGGGCCCAAACCTCTACCCTGGAAATCCAGAGTTCTCACTGGAGCACAATTTGAATTTGCTCAGCGAGTCACTCTGGCAATCAGTAATGATGCTCATTACCCATGCCGTTGGCGGGCCAGAGGCGAGCTAAACAGATGACGACAGCGCTGCGACGACGAAGTCCGGAATCGGTCAGTAAACATTGCAAGATGGCTACAGATGAACACCAGTTGTTTGAAACGGCTTTGGCCGCTACAATGAACGAGTTAGACTTGGCTTTTTCTCTAAAAGAGGAACAGAAGACGGCGCTCGAGTCTTTCCTTTGCAAGGACGTTTTTGCTGTTTTGCCGACCAGATACGGCAAGAGTCTAATCTACCAGTTAGCTCCGCCGGTAGCTAAGCGTATACGTGACCCCGTGTATTGTTCTGATTGGTCGTAGTGTTATCCAATTGCTGCAGTGATATTTTCAAATGCATGCTTGGTGCCGCCCCTCGAGTTGGGCCATTTGCATTACTCATAGCCAGACCCTAAATCTTTCTAGATTTGGGTCTGGATTTCCAGGCTAACAAACCTCAGCATGCTACTCTATTTCTTTGTATGGTCACCTGCTCCAGACACACTACTGCAAGTGTTTACATCACATACACTGCTACATGTAGCTACATGCTAATGTCAGGGAAACATGTAACCTTTGTTGCTGCTTTTAAATCATAATCCTGCTGGAACATGTTTGGTTGTTTACAGAAGCTGTTATTGGTGATTCTTCACAATAGAAAGCGCCTCTATTGTCCGCTGCAGTCAGTCCCCAGCAGCAGAGACGGTGCAGAGACGCCAAGATACAAAAGACCTGGAAACGCTTATCAGTCAGAGCAGACTGGGCTTTTTCGAGGGGTTGGATTAAACAGGCAGGAGCTAGAACGTAGCATGTCAGCGGGTGAATGCACAGCTCAGTCCCCCGGAGAAAATATTGACACTATATGTTGCTGCAAACCACAGATATGTTTCAAACACGTACATACATATCAGAGTTTACATAGTGACGCAGTACAGAAGCTGATGTCAGCTAAATTGAATAAAAACCTGAAGACGGTCTTTCCTAGTTCACTTTTCATACGTGGGATGTGAAGTCTAAGCTGTGTCTGTGAACATGTATTATAACCAGGGGTACAAAGTTTTAAAAGTAAGGTTAAATATAAGGGAAGCTTTCCACACAAGGCTTTATAAATGAATAAAAGACAGTGCTGTTCTCTGCGAACTTCGTGAGAGGGTCAGCCCACTTTTTCATATAAAATGCAGTGATGGGTAAGATACCGATCCCCAGTGATAAAATGTAAGGCACTGTGAAAAACTGCATTAAGAGGTTTCAATGTGGAAGCTGAGGCATGCATGTATATGACATCACCAAAATCAAAAACAGACATTATTGTGGATTGTACGATGGTCTTCCTGCTGGGTGAGATGAAACATGATTTATTTCTGTATAAAAAAACAATTCTTACTCTTAATTTCTTTGAAAGGTGTTCCACATGGGTTTGAAAAGAAAGCTTGGTGTCCAACCAAATGCCCAGGTATTTATAAGACTCAACAGTTTCAATTGACTCACCATACAGGGTTTGAATACTGAGACAGGAGTCATTTAGTTGTGACCTTGTGAACCACATAGCTTTAGTTTTACTGGGATTCAGGACAAGCTTGTGGGAAATAAGAGACAACTGAAAACAGTTAAAAGCAGATTGCAGGCTTGCAATGGCTGATTTAAGAGTGGGGCCAAAACTGTATGAAATTGTGTCGTCCGCATAAAAATGAGCATCACAAAGTGGTGACGGGAGTAAAATGTTGTTAATATAAAGAGTAAATAAAAGTGGGCCCAGGATGGATCCTTGTGGAACACCTTTGCCCAAAGAAAGAGAGCTGGATCTAGCACCATCTGCAACTACCGCTTGTGTTCTACTTGAAAGATAGTCAGAGAACCAGCTGATAGAGAGACTGTCTAGGCCAATGGATGATAGTTTGCCTAATAAAATATTATGGTCCACCGTATCGAATGCCTTAGACAGATCGATGAAAAGAGCTGCACAGTGCTGGTGAATATCAAGGCCGTTTATAATATTATTAACAACAAGTGTTGTACAATGGCAGCATTTATCCTGGTGGTGAGTTGGCGTACAGGTGTTCCAGCAGAGAGAGTCCGAGGAAAATAAAGTGTTTTTTGACCTGACAATGAGCCGGACAAATGCCTTTAATCTACCAGTGATGACAGAGTGGTCTGATTGAGATGAATGAGAATGAGTGTTTTTTCACACAGAGTTAAAGTCAGGCTGAACACGGCCAGATTCAAAGTTCAGATCCCACTCCTCTTCTTCATCCTCCTCCTCTTCCTCCTGGTCCTCCAGCAGCAGCTTGAGTTCTGTTAATAACTGTGTCCTTCCCGTGGAGACCAATGTTAATGCCTGGATGTTTATCCCTGCAGTCTTTAACTGAGTGTGTTCGTCCTTCTCCTCCTCGCAGTCTTCAGTTCCTCTTGGCTTGGTTCAGTCACAATCTGTCCTCTGCTGTGAAACCTGTTCGTCTCGCTTCACTGACCTCAGAACAGGAAAAAAAAAACCACCTGAGCAGCTCAGCTGTAGATGTCAGAGGAAACAGTGCAACAACACAGTGACTTCTGCTGCTGCTCCAAACTCTAACTGTGGAAATGTTGAAGAAAACAACTATATATGAAATGATTAGGAACAGATTTAACAGAAGTGTGTGGAGGATTTAGGGGGATAGGTTGGCAGTAGTGGAATATCATATGTTTAATTTAGTGGTTAATCACCTTAAAGAGGAAGAAGCATTGTGTTTTAGTTTCCTTAGAATGAGCTGTTTATATCTACACAGGGAGCAGGTCCTTGTCTATAGAGTCCACCATGTTTCTACAGTAGCCCAGAACAGACAAACCAAACACTGGCTCTAGATAGAGACATTCACGTTTTCACGTTGGGCATTGTAGTAGAAGCCCATCTGCCACCAACAGCCTTGTAAAAACACGTGAAAATTCTTTGTCACGTGAAATGTCTTCATTCAGAGTGTTTCCTGGTGTAAATCAGCTGCTCAGTCTGTTTGTTTCTGAGAGGAAGAGACTCTGTGGATCATTCAGCTCCTGAACAATGAACACTGAAGGAATTTGAACCAGGAGAAGTCTCAGCTGGTTACGATCTGTAATCTTCTCCACTAGATGGCACTATCTGACACACTGAACCTTTAAAGGAACAGTTGCACATTTGGTGGAATCATCTTGCGGGTGATGACAGTGTCAAACTACTTTTAAAACATACTGTATGATCTGTGTATTACTCAATACAAAATACTTCATTAGTTTCACAAGGGGGGAAACTTAACGACTGCCCAGGTTCATTCTGCAATAAAAACAATAAATTATGCTACATGCTAACAGCTGCTAACAGCAGGTGGAAGCTTAAGTTTACGCTGCTGAGATAACGTTTTAATCTACAGCTCAGATTGTTTAACTTCTGATATCTGGATCAAGTAGTTTTGATAGAATTCAGCAAGTTTAGTCTGACGATTTGTGACAACTGTGATTATAACATGTTTAGAAAGCACTGAAAAATGATTTTACTCTTTGTTTTTGACATGAAAATACCTTAAACCTACAATATGTAATTTTCTGCTGCTAGGGGTCTCAAACCAAAACAATAACAGAAGACGGAGTTGGATGGGATCATGGGAGTTGTAGTCATATAACAGATACAAATCTGATGTTCCTCACTCCGTGAAACCGAAACCGACCGTGGCAGCTCTCTTCTTATCCCATATTCTTCTGGGATCGCTTGGTTGACCCGTACTTTTCCGTTTTACTGGCTTGTTTACCGGGACAGCTTCTGTGTCAGAAGGTGCAGCAACCGTCAATGCATAATCATGATCCATGACGAGTTAGCTTAGCCTAGCAACAGTAACGTTCATTCTCTGACGTCTCATCCAGTCTGCCTCTTCTTCTTCTCCTTCATTTAATGGCTATGGTAACTGGAGTTACGTCGCCATTGACATGTGACCTAATGACACGGTCTGTAACTTTTATTAATATTTCATATTTATCTGGGTTTGAAAAATTGTTGGAAACATTTCTGATAATCAAAGTACACAACTAAACAAAATATATAATATTGGTTTAGTTGTTTTTAGACTTTTTTATGTGGAAAAACTACATATTATACCTTTAAGTGTTTAAATAGGATGAAATAAGAACAAATTCCTCTGAATTCTCAAATAACAGGTAGAATCTCACATCCTGAACTCCTTCAATACAACAGTGACCTTAACTTTGCATTTTCTTCTGTTGCTGTTGCAGCTGCAATGAAACACAAAACTTCCTATGTAAGTTTCAAAATAAAAGCTGACCAGGAAAGGGAGGGATTCTGTCTTTAGAGTGTCTGAGATGCTTTTAATGTGAAACATCTGTACAGGAAGTTTTAAGTCTCAGTACCTTGACAGCTGTTGAAAAAAACAGCAACGTAGAAGTGGAACAAATTAGTGAATGAGAAAAGTAGTAGTTTTGTGGTGAGCGACATGACTGCTGCACTAAAGAAACTGTTGCTGTGAAAAAATACAAGGAGGCTCTTTACTAAATATGAATCTATAAAACAAAGGAAATCAAAAATGAAGACTTGAATCTGTGCTGGAGGGTTTGAAGCTGCTCTTTAGGAAATTAATTCTAATTCTGCTCGACTGGTTGAAGCTCCGTGAATAAAACACATCTGATTTATTCTAGTTTAATGGAAATGTGTCATTTACATGCAAATCAATCTGACACATCGGAAATGTTTTAACATATGAATAAAAAAAAACTGCTGACATTTAAATTCATTTAATTTGTTCTGCATCAGTTCTATGTTTTTTTAATTAAACATGAGATATAAAGTGTGGAGACAGCTAAACTATAAGTAGATTTATATACTGTAAATATGTTGTCGACAAACTGCCACTGTGGGTTTTGAAATATGAATGACAGCATGTTGATGTGTATTTATTCATGAATGCGCTCATGTTCTATGTATGTACATATTTCTACATGTATCTGCAGGTTGTCATGGTAACAACCAATTTACATGAGGAGGCCTCAGCTGTCTGACGGTCTGTCGTCATGCCGACTCTTTGGTTCATTCTGGTCATCAGGGTTTGTTTTGCAGCCTTGTTGGTGGAGGATGATGATGATGATGACGATGATGATGATGACGATGATGATGATGACGACGATGATGATGTCAGACTTCCTGTTCAACACTTTGAACTGTAGTTCTGCAGATTTCTGGTGCTGGATCAGATTTTTCGGGATGTCTGTTGGTGATATTTCAGCTCCCCTGAGGATGAACCCCTCACATCATCATCAGGATGAAGGACAGACCTGTTTGTGAGTCTGTAGCTTAGCAGCACAGTTTGCAGCCACACGTTGTTGCTTTCTTGAGGTTGGGGATGAGTTTCTGCCTCAAGTTCAGTAATTCAGGTGTCAGCACACGATCTCTCAATTAAAGATTAAAAGCAGTGAAACTGTCACTCGGTGCTGAAAGCATTTGAATCATCAGCAGAGATGAGGCTGTGGAGCCGTCAGTGGACATGAAGCACTGAAAACAGTGGCATTGTGAAAGAGCCAAAGATGAAAGTAGGAACTGTCAGGTGATGTGCAGCAGGCCAGCTGTTATTGGAATACAGGCAGGGGCACGACGTTTTCAAAAGTGGGCCCTCTCATCCACACCCGACGGGGGATCCTTTTACGTTTTTATACGTCTTGTAAATATCCAATTAATCATATTTCCACATGTATTGTGTATCTGCTGTTAAAACCTTATATTCTGACATTAAAAAGTTGAGGTAGTCACACGTTTGTCCTGGGCTGAAAAAAGCCCTCCACTGAATAGGGAAAAACAAAATACAACATTGATTGAGGAAATTACTGCAAAGTATTAAATCATAAGATTAAATCAGGAGTGAACAGATAATTCTTTTCTTCTTTCATTCATTCAATCTGTAATCAAATATTGACTAAATAATGTGCAGAACTAAAACAGTGTCAAGAGTTTACGGCTGTCAACTCTCAGTTTTCCAGCTATACCCAATTAATGGAATTTTAATTTGAAGTTTAAGTTTAGTGACCCCAGTATGCAGAAATATTTAAATACACAATTTTGAAAAATGGCATTGTTCCTTTTTCCCTCGCCAAAATGTAGCGTGGCTTGGAGTGTTATTTGGCCCCCTTTCTGACAAGATAGCCTGACATGGTTGGTACCACTGGATGCCTCAGGTCCTCTTGTTTGATATAATACCAGTGTCGTCACTGTAGCTTTAAAACTGAGCTAATACAGCAGGTTGTGTTCCTAAAAATGACTCTTCATCATCTTCAGCTCTGCCTGTCACACCTGCTTCTTCTTTTTCTTTTGCTAGAGAGATGGGCCGATGTGTTGAAATGATCAAATTACTTTATTAATCATGTAAATACATATAAATAGTATTGTCAGTGATTTAAGTCAGTAAGTAAATTATTTTACTTGATCCATTTCAAAGGTCAACCACACACCTTTTCATGGGCCCCTCTTGACCTTGGGCCAGGGGCTTCTGTTCCCTCTGACCCTCCCGATGATGTGTTGTTGCTGTACTAATACCAGTAGTAATTTATACCAAAGAGCTAATAATAAGCAAACGTCAGATAAGAGCTGAAGGGATTCAAGATTACATTGTCACCACTGAGTTTCGCTGCTCCACATGGACTGTTTACCTGCTTTTCAAATGTGATTGGTTAATACCATTGCTGCCTATGGAAATGCATTTCCCTCTCTGTTGTACAGACCAGCTCCTGTAGCAGCTCTTCTTCTCTGCTCCTATAGCAGCTGGACTCCTCTCCTGTGTGTAAAGAGAACTCTGTAGCTGTTGTTGTGTTTCATGTGTGACGATGAATGAATGAGGAGAGACTCGTTGAGTTTCACGATCTACAAACCCATCATTATAAAGACAATGGTCAAAAAGATACTTCCTGGTGAAGTATCTTTCATGGTCACAGCCCTGTCCACACATGATTTGAAGCCAACACAGAGAAGTAGGAAGTTCAGATCGTTCAGTAAAAGTAGTAATAACTTTGTGTGGTCATCTGTTGACGAGCTGCAACGCAACATGTCCAGTGTGTGCTAGGGGTGGCACTTGAAGATTCTGTAGACATATGCTGATCTGTTTGTGGAGATCAGCTGATATGTGACCAATGAAAGTAGTGACGTGTCAGTTCAAGAGAGAAATGAACGTCAGAGAGACGTAGGTTTAAGAGATGAAAGCAACTTATTCGTCAGCTAAGGAGCTAAAGATAAAAGCAGTACGTTGTCTCTTGATGTGTAAGAGCGACAGTCCACCCCAAAATCATAAATAGGCTACATATTTTTCTTTTCTCACTGAGGTGCTATTCATCAGTCTAGATTGTGTTTTTTGAGTTGCAGAGTGTTGGAGCAAGATGTCTGCCTTCTCTTCAGTACAATGAAACTAGATGGTAAAAGAAAAAGCAGCAATGTTCAGAAATCATGACAGTTATTCAAGATAATCCACAGACCTTGTTGTGAGCAGTTTCATGTAGGAACTATTTTCTTTCTACTGAACTCCACCCACCAACCGTATCTCTGCACAGAACGAAGCGTAAATCTACTCGTGGATGAGAGCCTTGTGTTGTGCGAGATGTAAACATTCATGGCGTCCTCCTCGGCTGACCTGTAACACTAGCTCAGTCAGGCTAGGACGGTTAGCAGTAGATACGAACTTCCTTCGACTTCTTCCCTCTTGAGTTTGTGAGTATGACTTGACTTGTGACTTGTTTGACCTGAGCAATGTCTTGACTCGACTTGACTTGCTCAGTTTTCCCCACAGTGACTCGGGACATGCTTGAAACTTGAAGGTTAGGACTGAGACTTGCACTCGTGACTTCCTCCCACCTCTGACAATTAGAGCTCTTTAGGATTCAGGGCTCATTACAGCTCAGAGTTTCTTATAATCAAGCGCCTCATTAAGACTCTGAGCTCGTTAAGATTCACGACCTGTTGAGACTGTTTTTAACTCAGACGTCACAGCGGAGGAAAAACCACATCTTTACTTCTTCAGGATGGTTTTCTGCAGCCTGGTCATGTCTCAGCTCCCACAGCTCAGAGTGTGTGTGTGTGTGTGTGTGTGTGTGTGTGTGTGTGTGTGTGAGTGATATCCTGCCATTATAATCCCATCAGATCACCTCCACAGACTCTGTTGTGCTTATATTAATGGAGTCGGAGCCGCTCACGTCAGGAGAGACTAAACTGCAGAGATACAGTGAAACAAGATAAAAATACAGGATTTGAAATAAAATCTCAAATTTATGATGTGTAATATTCTTTGTTGTGTTGTTTCTGTGTTCAAACCAGGAGACCCAGCAGAGCCTGAGGCCCCTCAGAGCCCTCAGGGGCCCCCAATGATCAACAGCAGCCTGCTGGAGACCAGGATCAAACACCTGAGAGAGTGAGTCTGAGTGAGGCTTTTATTTTGTAGTTTTGATATAACAGGAGCCCTGATGTGTGCAGAGCGCCCTGCAGTCGATGCAGTTTGAATATTTTGCACATATTGTTCTCCGTCGTTTCAACAAGGCAACAAACCTCTGCAGCTCACAGCCATGCAGCAAAGAAACTTCCTCTGGTCCTGGTTCTGCTGAACTCTGACCATAAAACTCAGGATTCTGCAGCCTTGTCTTAAAGCTGTTTTATTCAACTAAATATTTGCAGTGTTTTTCATAATAACAGTAACATTTGTTCTTTATGTCTAATAATCCTGATGTCACAGCTCACTGTTGGACTTGTGATGATGTCTCCTGTTGGTAATCATCTTCATGTGTGTTTAATCAAGCTGCTGACGACTGAGCAGGTGTGTGCACCTGTGTGTGCAGGCTTCACTCTGCGCTGACGACAGTCCAACATGGACTGAAATGTTTCCACTTCTTGCACATTTTTCAGTCTGTGCAGCCCTGCAACATGTAGAGTACAGATTGTTGAAGTCTTTTTTTGTTCTGTTTTGCTCCATGATGACATTTCTTTGTGTTCCACTCCAGAAAACAAGACAAACACAGGACAGTTTATTAAAGAGCAGCTCATCCTATGTCTACCATTTAACTGACAAAGGAAATACAAATTGGTGCAACGTGGTTTGACTCTGTAGCATATCTGTGGTTTGCAGTAATGTACAATGTCAGTATTTTTTTCTGGGGATTGGGCTGAGAGTCTCTTTAAGCTGGTATTCTAAGCTATTTTAGTGGGAAACAAAAGTCCCATTTCTATCGAGCAGTTCAGTTCGGTATGCATTGTTTCTGTCTCCACAGTTAAAGTTGTGGATGGTACCAACAGAAGCGTTCCGTACCGTCCCCATGTTTGGTCCCCCCTCTGTTGGTGTACCTAGCACACAGATCTGGTACTAAAAGGTGGAGCTAGAAACCCTGCAGTCTGATTGGTCAGTAGAGGACGCTCACTCTGGTTTTATGTAACCTCTGTTCATACATCAGTAAACTACAACTATAAAATGAAAGAGAAAAAAATAACTTCATTCACTGGGCCGACTGCCGGCAACTTTTAAGGTGGAACGTTAACTTGTAATGTTACTCAATGCATGAGTTGATGACGTGAATCCATCAGCACACCTTAAATTTCACTGTGACAACTTTGACCATCACTTTAGTTTTTATATGACACACACTTTTAGTAATGACTTTAAAAATATAGATTAATTTGGAGCGGATTATGTGAAGGTCATATATTCTAATCCTCACTTCCTGTGGGCTACAGCAACACTAAACCCCTGAGCTTGCCTGAGAAGGACTAAATGCACAAAGCTGCTATTTTTAAATATCCCATGGAGAGAGACTCTCACTGCAGCCTGTTCTATTTTGTTGTGAAAATGTGGGCGTGCAGCCTCGTTCTGTGGACGATAAACCAGGTGCAGACTTCCATCTGTGTCACCGCTGATGAGGAAATACAGCGAGTGCTGGACGGAGCAGTGAGTGACAACAACCCCGCCCACATTTAAGAGGACTGTCTGAACACACCGAGGGTCTAGGTACCATGTCTGAAGGCTTACTGCTGGTTCCACAGGGACTGGACTGAAAGGGTTTGGTGGAGACGGGGCTAAGGTTGTCAGTGAATGTCTCACTGATACATTCAGGATCCACATTTTTTGACTTCCCAGATACGTTTATTAGCAACAGTTCCTCATTGTGTTGATACATGTAATGCGGCTGACTTTATGTTTTCTGCAAAACACAATTCAGTGCCGCCCTCCTGTCGCCTCACAGTCAAGAGACGGCTGCATTCTGTGTGGTGTTTCTGTTGACTGATATTTTATTTAAAAAATATATTAAAATATGTTTTTAACTTGTTTAGTATTACTTTGACATTTCCAGCATATTTCTGACTTGTTTCTTTTTCTATAATGAACGATATAGAAACAAACTGTGGATGTAACAGACGGGGAGCTGTGGCTCTGCAGTCTTCTACTTTAATGATGATAAAGCTGACCTTAACTTTGACTTTGCACAGCGTCTTTCCTCTGCTGACTTTCTTGTTTTGGTTTAAGGAACCAGCTCAGACTTAAGCTCCATCTCTCAGCGAGCATCTGTGAAAGTTTAATTTAAAATAATCCAATTATTCCAGACAAACATGTTGCCTGGAGCCGCAGCGTGTCGACTGGGTGGATCACAATGTGATAGGAACTAGATTGGGTTTGTTTGTGCAGATTAAAATGAAAGAAAGCTGAGAAAACAAACACACACACAGATAATGAAACACAAAGATGTTTTAATAACGGCTTTGCTCCAAAAACACAAACACAGAAAATTTAACATGACAACAAACATTTTGACGAATTGGAATCCAGTGTGAGACACAAACACAATAACGGCTTTAGAAACTTAAACAAACACACTGTACACCTGTTATTGTCTTCATCAACCCCCTCCTCCTCCTCCTCCTCCTCCTCTCACCTGTAACCAGTAAAGGAGGACTTATCTCATGAATGAAGGTAAAAAGGTGTAAACACTGTGGAATAAATAGAAACAGCCTGAGTGAATAATTGATGACGTACATGAAGCATGATGAGCTGAAAACATGAGATGTGAGGTGATGAGGAGATTGTCACCTTCCTCACATTAAAGACCCAGTGAAATGAAAAATACATTTTCCCAGTTTGTATCCTGTGTTCCCGTGTTAAATAATCGTCGTTTATATCTTGTTAAATCAATCAATCAATCAATTTTATTTATAAAGCCCAATATCACAAATCACAATTTGCCTCACAGGGCTTTACAGCATACGACATCCCTCTGTCCTTATGACCCTCACAGCGGATAAGGAAAAACTCCCCAAAAAAACCCTTTAACGGGGAGAAAAAACGGTAGAAACCTCAGGAAGAGCAACTGAGGAGGGATCCCTCTTCCAGGACGGACAGACGTGCAATAGATGTCNGGAAGAGCAACTGAGGAGGGATCCCTCTTCCAGGACGGACAGACGTGCAATAGATGTCGTACAGAACAGATCAGCATAATAAATTAACAGTAATCCATATGACACAATGAGAGAGAGAGAGAGAGAGAGAGAGAGAGAGATGCAGGTAATGACAGTAGCTTACAACAACATTATTGAAAGTAATAATAATATAGTTATAGTTCTGGTTAAATGCAAAATGTATGCACAAAAAATTCTGTGTTTTTACGTCATTTCTCTGTAAAACAGTTTCAGATGTTTGATGACTCATCCTGAGCTCAGGAGCATTCACAAATGTTCATTGAATCTAATGAGACTTTGGGCCACAAACCAGACCAGTTATATAAAATCACACTCCACTGTTTGTGGGGAGCGAAAGCCCACTGGACCAAAACCCACCAACATCTGGCTTTAGTATTTAATTGAAAAAAGCTTATAAATATATTCCTGGGACAAATGACTCTGCAGTAGTAACAGGTGTTCATCGGCTTCTGCTAAGGTCTGTGTCCAAGCATTGCTTAAAAATTAGTTGGCATCGAGTTCGAAAGAGAGACCAGTGTTAATTTTGCTGACAAAGACTATGACAAGGTCAACAACCTTTCAATGAAGAAAACGAGACGATCACGCTATGAGCTAAAAATAGATCTAATTAGAATCTATGCTTCACATTCGTTGAGCAGACGTGGCTGTTGGCAGTTTTTATTGGAGCTCTCTAACTCACCTCTTCTTATTTTACTTCTTTGAGCTCTTTTCTTCCTCTTCATCAAGCACTTTACGTCTTCTTCTTTGTCTTTGAGCTCTTTACATTTTCTTCGAACTCTTTATGTCTATTTCTTTGGGCTCTTTTCTTCTTCTTCAAGCTCTTTACTTTGTCTTTTTCAAGTTCTTTACTTTTACTTGAAGCTCTTACGTCTACTTCTTTGAGCTCTTGACTTCTTCATTGAGCTCTTTTCTTCCTCTTCAAGTTCACCACTACTTCTTATTCAAGCTCTTTGCAACTTCTTGGAGCTCTTTACATCTACTTCTTCAAGCTCTCTTCTTCTTTGAGCTCTTTACTTCTTCCTCCAACTCTTTTTTTCTCCTACACACTTTTTCTTCTTCTTCAAGTTTTTTACTTCGTCCTTTTCAAGCTCTGTTCTTTTTCTTCTTTGAGCTCTTTTCTTCTTCTTCTTCTTCTTCTTCTTCTTCTTCTTCTTCTTCTTCCTCCTCTCCTTCTTCTTCAGTGGTTTAATGGCTCCAACTGGAGTGAGCTGAGCAGGCAGAAACACAAAAAGTAGTTTCATCCCAAACTGACACTGAAACAAGAAACAAACCAAAACCCTCCAGCTAATGATCTGAGCTCATCTGCAGTCGCATACATTTCCTCTCGGTGAGTTTTCATCTGATTCATTGATTAAAGTTTTTATTATTTTATTCACATTTTCCATTCAGCTGTTTAGAGTTCAGTCATTGGTGCTGAGAGATCATTTAAACCTGCTGCTCTGCTCTGATTGGCTGCTGGTGGAATGTGGGGTCATCTGATTGGTGGCAGGTGGCAGGGGTTGATGAAACTGCGAACCTGGTGCTCCCTGCTTCAATTAGGGTCAGCTCGTCGCCATGGTAACAACATCAGGCACATGCACACACGCATGCACGCGTGCACACACACACACACACACACACACACACAGCTGCTCGGTGTGGGAATTAAAGGCTGTCAGCTCCTCATAAAACACACAGGAGGAGGAGGAGGAGGAGGAGGGTTGAAGAAGAATAGAGAGTCACACAGTTCAGAGTTTCAGCTGCTGTTGTGTGTTTGGAGCTCTGAGAACATTCAAGTTCTCTCAGGTGTTCTGATAAAGAAAATTACTAACGTCCCAAAAGATGACATTTTTAATCTTCAGCAGGGAGGTTATTATCTTGTTGGCACCAGATTAAAAATGATCATCTGTCGGGACGTTAGCAAGAAAATAACAGCTTTAAAGCTACAGGTTGTGTTGATAGTTTTGGTGGGTAAAG